AGGGCAGCTACTACTATGCACTACGCACTTTGAGTCCATGACAAATTTCCCCTAGGGGACAATAAAGTATATTCTATTCTATTCTATTCTTTGGCCAAAGGTGACATCATATTTAGAATAACGTTACCTGCAATGTTCCTATATTTTATTTGGACCATGGACTCCATACTACTAACTAGCTTGCCATTTATAAATTACCCCATCAGCCAACACCACAAAGCAAGGCCAGACCCCCACCAAGCAATAGATGAGAGCAGCCCATCCGGATTGCGTCAAGCCCTCACCTCCTTTTGGGTGAAAGCAACCCCTCTAAATGTTATTGTAATGTAAATTCTGAGATCTTTGCCAATTTTATACCATAAAATAAACATACTAATATAAATTTTTATTTAGTTTTTAAAAGTAGCATAAAGGGAACTAACTTTAAATGACAATAAAATAACCTTGAATCCATGAAAAAGTATAATGCCAAAATAACGTACACCCCCTCAAAGGACATTTCATGTAAATATCATGTAAATGTAAATATTTGGCTATTTATAATAAAACCTCAGAAATTGATGATGTTCAGTATGTTTGATTATGTGTAATTATACTGGTTCAGCAGGCTCAGAAAAGACAGAATTTAAAAACATGATCCGTACTTTTGCAGTTAGCTGTGCTGAGAGGTTAAACAAACATTTAAACCCTCATTGATTTTCTACTGTTTTTCCTCAGATCAGATAGCAGTTTCTCAACTCCTGCTGGTAAATCATGTGTTAGTGTGTTTGTATTGGCACACAACGTAACAAAAATTGGAATAACATGAAAAATATCGGTTGCACGTATTAAAATCATGTTTACTCATGTCAACTTAAAGGTCTTCTGTATATTCAGTTATTATCTGTTGAACTAACATTACATTTTCTGTATTGTACCATTATAATAACTTCTTTCTAAATGTCAATAAGACTAAAGATATCATTGTTGATCGGAGGAAATTACACTCCTCCCATCAGTGGGTCATCTGTTAAAAGTGTCGACAGTTTCTCATTTCTTGGTTTAAACATCACAGACATCTTCACATACACTTTAAAAAGCCCTTCACCGGGGGAAGTTTATACTACCTATATTTAAACTGTAGTTTTGTGCAATTCAATTATTAAGTTGATTAATTTATTATTTTATTTTATTATTTGTTTTTTTTAAAGTCACACCTAATTAAAACATGTCAAGATACTGACAAGTCATTATTTCCTAAAAAGAAATTGAGTTTCATAAAACTGCTTAAATTAAAAGTTAGGAAGCAGAAAAAAATGGGCAGCGTGAGGATTTGAGCGACTTTGACAAGGGCCAAATTGTGATGGCTAGACGACTGGGTCAGAGCATCTCCAAAACTGCAGCTCTTGTGGGGTGTTCCCGGTCTGCAGTGGCC